GGAGGATCGCACTTTCTGTCAGTTAGAGAAGCAGATGCATAGCAAGCCCTAGGATGCCATGAAAAGCACCTTAAACAAAAAATGGCATGCCCTCATTGTAGAGGACAAATACTGCCAGCTCCAAGGAAGTTCACAACCCAAGAGAATATACCAAACGGCCTTTAGGGAGAAAACCAAGAGCTGCTTGAACACATAACTAAAGATTTACACTGGCTAATGTCTGCATCCAAGGAACTTCTTGGTGTTGATATCTTGGCTGCACCTGCCTTTCCAGGCCTGATACAGAAGACAAGAGTCACAACACAGAGAAAACAAACATGGAGAGAGAACTGAGCAGTCTTTGCCATATGTAAATCAGAAAATGGCTGGTCTTCTCTTATTCACAGCTTAGACAAAAAATTCTCACTCTGATGCTGCAGGATTTAAGGAATTCTCCAAGATGTCTTCAGGAAATCCTCTCTCTTCAAATCTCTCTCCATTAACAGCCATTCTCCAAAAATTAAGTAAACTTACATTTTTAATCTAAAAACATGCCTGACTCACATATAAATTTCATATAGTATATTTAGTATCAAAATGGGATAATTTAATAAAGTGCTTTATAAATGGAATAGCACTAAATATATAAATAGCAAAATTTGTTATTAATAGACCTTTGAGATATATGGTAGACTAAAAACAAATTGAAGAATAGTGTATATATCATACAATTTTTGAGGCAAACACAGACTCACAAAATAATGTTTTTTGTAATATATATGACGATACTGGAAAAATGGTCTGGAAAGGACACTCCCAACTGAGATGAGCAATTGCCCCAGCAAAAGGATTAAATAATAACCATAACGATAACAATAACCATAACAATAACCAATAACTCACAAAAATACAAGCATGGGCTCTACTGGCAGAGAGTCCTAAGAACAAGCCCCAGTTGGGCCTGAGAGACAAGACACACTGTCAAATGTGTTGGGCAAAATAATAACCAAATATATTTAAATCAAAGGAGAAGGAGATGGAAAAATAATGGCTTTACCCATCGCCCTCCTCTCCCATTCAAATAACACCTTGTCCTCCATTCCCTCAGGCAACGAGAGGCCAAAACTAACAAGTAAAAAGAAATAAGGACGAAGAAGTGAGTTCTTGGCCAGGACTTCCTGATCATTTGCGGGACCCTGGGCCAGAGTACAAATGGACATCTACATGTAAACAGTGAAATATTCAACAGTTATAAATCAGGCTAACACACTGTTAAATGCAATACATTCTGTCTTTCCGCCTTGACAGATATTCCTGTAAAAGGATGTGGAAGGTTAAGTTAGGGTTCTCGGAGTCCAACCCCAGGATGAGGCAGTGTTGGGAGAGCTGGCTCAGGGCCCAGGCCACCCTCCTCGGTTTCCACTGCTGGCTCGGTCCCCATGGCAAAAGGCTTTGTACATGTGTGACCACTCAGCTCCCATATACAAGCCCCACCCACATCCCCTTAAACAGTTGCCCCTTGGTCTCCCCTTGCCCTGGAGTGTGCACTGGGGTGGTACATTCCACCCTTGGAAAATTGGACTTGGGGAAAGGGCTGATGCAGCCCTGGAAGTGGGCTCGGGGCCATATGGACAGTGAATTGGGGTCTCTTATCCCCTTAGCTTGGTCTAGAAGTTGGGGGGAGGCACAAGCTCCAGAAGGGCACATGCTTTGGTGCTGACTCTTCACTCCTGGGAATGTGATTGGAGGGGGGCCATGGGAGATCCCTCTGAAGCAAGGGTCCCAGGGCTGGGATCTCTCCTACACTGGTCTGAGGTCAGTACCATTCTTGGTTTCGGGGAGTCCTGGGCTCAGGTCCTGATGAGTTAAGGCATCATTTTGACTACATTACATATGTAACCCAAGTCAGTGAATTAGTCTCATTCTTCCCACTTTGTACAAAACATGGATATTTAAAAACATGAGAAGCACAGCCAACATCAAACTTTCTCCTCTATGAGAGATGCCCAGGACTGGGACCGAGACTGACTGATGAAACCAGACTCATCTCTTTCATCTCATCATCCCATTTCACTGGAATAGCAGGCAGAATTGTCGACACTGTAAATTGTTCTCTCTCCCTCTTTTGCAGAGCAAGTATGGTTAAATTTACCTAAGTTAAAAGTACAAATGATGTGATTCTGCTGCACCAACTATAGGTTCTTATTTCCTATTTGTATCTGTTATTTATTGCGGCAAAACAAATTACGCCCAAATTCAGCAGCTTAGAACAACAAACATTTATTATTTTATAGTTTGTGTGGGTCAGGAATCTGGAAGCGGCTTAGCTGGGTGGCTGTTGCTCAGGTCTCTCAGGAGATTGCAGTCAAGCTGTCCACCAGGGCTGCAGTCATCCAAAGACTCACCCAGGCTGAATGATCCACTTCCAAGCCCACTCACATGGTTGTCTTCAGGCGTTAGTTCCCCACAGGCTGTCGGATCGAGAGCCTCAGTTCTTTGTGGGCCTCGATTGCTTGTCATACCATGTAGGCCTCCTGGAAACCAAAGAAGAATTTCAGGAAGGAGAGAACAGTCCAGTGAGTCAATGGCATATGGAAAAGGGCACTGCAGATCTAGCAGCTGCCAGGTATTGGTGACCTTAGCAAGAGTGGGGAGTGGTTCGGGGACGACGTTATAATCGGTTGAGAAGCCAATGGGAGGGAGGGAAAGAGAGAGAGAGCCAGTGGATCCCAAATTAGGGCCTGCCAACAGGTGCTGGGTTGGGCCACCTGGAGAGCTTGTAAAAAATATACCCATTCCTTATAATTAACAATACTATATTATATATTTGAAAGTTGCTAAGAGAGGAGATCTTAAAAGTTTTCATCACAAGAAAAAAAAACTTGTAATTATCTGTAGTGATGGATGTTTACTTATTGTGATCATTTCACAATACATACATATATCAAATCATTATATCATACAACTGAAACTAATACAATGTTATATGTCAATTATATCTCAATTAAAAAAATACCAGTTCTTAGACCCATTTTTATTTTTTTTTGCAAGGAAGCTAAAGTTGAGAAAAGTTAAATGACTTGCTCAAATTCCCATAGCAAGTAAAGGGCAGAGCTAGAGTTGGAATTCAGGCTCATCTGGAAGCCAAAGTTCATGTGAGCAGGCAACACGCTAGCCTGGCTCCCCACAAACCCATGTGAACATGACCCCTGGCTCTCCACTGACAGCTGGGTGGCCCTGTGCAGGTTCGAGTCATATGATCTATAAGAACCTCAGTTAGCTGATATGTGAACAGGGTGTAATATCTACCTTGTGCTCTTATTGTGATGATTAAATAAGATAATTTATTTTTAATGCCCTCTCACCAAAGACCACAAGGAATACACCCAGAGTTAAACAGGCTGGATCTATTACTTATAGCAGTGAGGGAAATGCACACCAAGGGAACCCCTGGCGATGTCTTAGTGAGAGAGTGTTAGAAAATGTTATTAAAGGACTCGGGCTTTTGTTAGCTGATTCGAGGGAGGGCTTGAGAAAGCAGGGGTAATTCTACAAATGTGTATCTTCATAAATCTTATCCATAGAGAGGACAGACTATAGCGAGGCTCAGGCCAGAGATGGTGAAGAAGCAGCTGTCACTCTCATTAGCCAGAAGAGCTCTATTTTGATATTTTGTGGCTTAGACAATGTTCACCTTTTTTCTTCATTCAAACATGTTTATGGAGTGATCTTGATCTCGTCTTGATCCATCGTGGTCACAGAGGGGCCTTGTCTGCTGCTGACGTTCTCTGAAGTCACGTTCAACAGGAGAACACCAAGGCCCAGTGATAGTGCCAGGCCAGCTCTTTCTCAGAATATAAAGAATTTTACAGTGTTGGACTCACGGGTACTCCATCCATAGTGGTTATGACTTGACTGTGCTCACCCACACTGCAGCTCTGAACCTGTAACAGGGAGGCAGGTAGGGGCATTCTGGGGCTGAGTCATTTGGAGCAACTAAAAGACAGATGTCTCTTCAAGCTGTAATGACTCGTTTTCTTCCCCAGCCTCAGGCATTACATGAGGCCATTTCCACGAGGTCAGGGGTGTTTCAGCCCTTGGAGAATTTCAGAAACAGCAAAGATGGGGCTGCAAGTTGGAGGACCCCTCCTGGACTCTGCCTTTGCCTCCTTCCTGCAGGGAACATGCAGGGAGCACCTACTGTGAGCCAGACCTGGGCCAGATGCTGTGACACCCACCACCTCAGCACAGACAGTCAAGCAAACGTCATGCTGAAAAGTGGAGTGAAAGAAAGCCAACAGCAAAGCACTGACAGTCTACACAGTGGCTCCCACCATTTCCTGAACATTGCAATCACCTGGATCGTGACAAATACTGATGCCTGGGTCCCCTCCACTGACGTAATTGGTCTGGGATACCACTCAGGAGCATCGAGATTTAAAAAAACTACTCGGTGACTTAATGTGCAGCAGTTTGGGAACCACTGGTTTAATCCATCCATCCTTACAGCTGGGGGGGGGGGCGGTGGTCACACAGCTGTTCAATGGGATGAAAGCTGTAGTCCCTCACTCCAGACATTGTGTTTAGATACAAAATCTGGCACAGAATTTCAGGGGGCTTACTGATCCTAAGAAGCGAATCTGGGAACCCCTCGGGTGGTGTCTCGAGGTCCCCGTTGAAAATTCCCAGATACAGGAGTATCCAACCCCAACCTGGGTGACATGAGCTCCCTGTCCCCTCCAGAACGGCGCTGGCCCTACTCCTTCACAGAATCCCCAGCGTTAGTGTCACCAAGGCGAGTTCCCGCAGGATGAGGGCGCCGACAAGCAGCCACGGTGTGCCGGCTACTGTGCACGCTGGTGTGCACGCGCGGGGCCGACGGGGAGCTACGTTTCTGTTACGGGAGCCGTGCCGCCTCCGGCAGCCGCTGCAGAGGCGCGCCCGGCGCCCCCTCCCGCCCAGTCCCCTCCCCCGGTGGCTCTCGCTCGCCCTCTTCCCTCCCCCCGCAGCGTCGGCCGCCTCCGGGTGCACAGGGCCGCGCTCCGCACGCGCACCACTCCCGCAGCCGCCCGGGCGCGCGCGGCCCCCCATCCAGCTGCCCAGCGACCATGAGCTGCGGCGCGCGGGTCGCGGAGAGCAGGTGAGCGCAGCCGTGGGACTGGGGGGCGCGGGGGAGGGAGGAGAAAGGGCAGAGCGGGGGTGGGGGTGGCTGGGCCCAACCTCGCCGCGTGCGGAAGAGGCTTTGCCTCCGCAGCACCGCCCACCCGGGGCTCTGCCCTTGCCCGGGTGGCGGCGAGGCTCCAGCCCGCCCCGCCATCTCCGCTCAGGTCGCGCGAACAAAGCGCCCTTCGGCGGCGGCGCCTGGCCCGCGCGGTGCCTGGAGCGTGGGGAGGCGATGCGCCCCCATCCCGGA